AAGTGTAAGTCTCCACGGCGAGATGTGGATGAGGGATCACATATAAACCCCACGCTATGATTCTTATGGGCTTCTAGATGCTGGCATGAAACGGTTCACAGTGAGTAGCTCCCTACCGTTTCACATTCTATCAGTATCCTGGCGGGCGCGTGCGCACTAAGGGAAGAAGGCTGCTAATTCATAAACCCTCTATCGTTGCTACCGTTCAACAGTTCCTTGAGGCAATATGGTAGATGAAATGTTAAGCGATCGTGAGCCTGAGCCATGACGCGCTGTTTCGTGAGCCATGTTGCCAAAGTTTGATGCAGTTGTGGCATGAATTAAGAGTGAATCCCTACACGGAACTTGTCGGGAGGTTCAGAGAGCGAACGTTATTTCCCTCGTTCATCAACGCCGTGTCACGAAAAACGGTTGACTACGCTATAGAATATCGTAATCAGATGCGCTTCGATATAGCAGTACAGTATGACTGAGGAAGCTCGCCTTAGTTATATGCGGTAAGATTACCAGGTTCTATCATTATCATATACTTGAACATCGTCGAATGATATCCTATAGTGGTGTTAGGTGATAACGAGTCCCTCTGCCGCATTCCACTGCGATCACAACTCAAGTCTTTGAGTTCACTCACCAACTTCTGTTACTCGGAAATCATAGGAAAAGGTCAGGATATATCCGACTAATTATACATTCCCCGGCACAGTATATTATCACACATACACCTAGTCATGCGGATCAACAAATCGTCATAATGTGTCTTCTAGTTGCAAGCTACCGCAAAATCTACAAATCATCACTATGAAAAATGGCATCACCATTAGCGACGGTTTTGTTGTGCACGCGACCGCTAAGATACCCTCACAATCTTCGCGAACAAGTTCAACGCATCTAGTCAATAACCTAACAGATTTGCGTGTTGGTACGGACAGTGATGGACAAACAGCTCTTTTGAAAAAACCTCATTGAATTGGAATGCAGAAATTTTGGATAAGCGCCTAAGGTCTTACCATTACTCAACAGTAACGCCACTAGCTTTATAAGAATATCTTGCAACTCACCAGGAGACAATCAAAGTATACTGACTTCTGAGATCAAAGTATCGGAAATGCCTTTTTCCGAAGGATCATACTTCAATCTATGAACACTCGCATTTGAAACTCGGATCTCGGAATGCCTTAGCGCTTTCGGCGGCTCCTAGATTCTTCCTACTTCCCCTGAGGGATGCCTTCATTGAGTTTAATGACGAAATAACGTCGTCAATATTGAGATTACATATACTTCCTATTCACATAAGTAGCGATAGCCCGCAAGTCGTCAAGAAAGTATTCACAAATGCACATGGCTAACACCCCAACAACTGTTGCTCAACACGACACAATTTAATGCAAAATATGTACGCATCACCGTTGGTGCAATTATAATATGATAGTCTACACAATAGCATCTTCTCCCCTCTAACACGAGTGGCGTTTTCACAGCACGCCAACACCGCCAAATCTCGCCTCAGTGAACTCATTCTCGGCCTTCATTTTCTTTATCTGTTCTAGCAACAGTTCACACTCCAACTCCAGCTTTCGCTTGTGGAGCATTCCTTCTCTTGTTTGTATCGGTCCAGCCGAAGCATGCAGGGCGTGAGAGAAGCCAGCGTTCGAGGAAGCCGTACTGGCGAAATCGTCATGGACGCCCGTGGAGACTATGTGGCCGCCGCCGGTGACGTTGGGCACCTCTTCCCCTGGAGGGTTCCATAGTATGAACTCGTTGGCGAGGTTGATGAGATAGACCGGGATTTTGTTCTTGACGTAGCCGACTTCCCTGTGCTCTTCGATGAGCTTTTTCACTCTGGAAACCAAGTTGTCCATTTTCTTCCTCACTTGCAGCACCGTCTTGGGCGACCCCGGGTTCATCTCATTGAGAGCCTCCGTGAAGGATTCGAAAGCATTAGCTCTCTCAACTGACAAGAGTTGCCATCACGCGCTGTTCACGACGCCGAGCGGCTACCTTGTGCCTCCGGTCGACGACTCTTTAATACTGATCGATTACGAATTATGAGCTCCACGAGCATGACGTTCTCGCTCTCAGTGAAGTGGGATTTAGGTTTGAACCCACCTGAACACACAAAGAGTT